CAGTTCTACATCCAGAACCTCTTTCACAGAACGAGTAACTCTCCTTACGCATTCCTAAAGCGCAAGAATATGCAAAATCTGCTGCACAGATCAACCCCACCGGAGCATAAAGACGTAGCCAGATGCATCTGAAACGGTTAGATTTGAACTGTTCATATGTCTTAAGCAACGAGGAGAGAACAGCAACTACATAAAAAAGTAGAATCAGCTATAAATATAATTATTTCAGTAACCAATTTCAGTTCCAACTAGCTAATCTTTTTTAACTTGAAGATCTTACCATATCTTTCTCCTCATAAAATCTTTTACTAATGTCAATCAATAATTTCTGCAAGAAAAAATCACTTGTCATTTATTTGTTTTTTGTAGATTTCAGTAAAAATGCAGCTTATAACCTTCTGCTAACGAAGATGTCCAAAATTTCTATTCAATCTTATAAAAGTCTCCAGCAAGCATGAAAAATTACAACTTATCACTTTGTCAACCTCTAAACACGTAAAACTGTCATCCAGTATGAATAAAAATAACGAAAACCGAAAAACAGAATTGTAGTGATAAGTGGTAATAAATTTATGTGACACAGAGACACCAGCAGTACTAAACTCAAAACTTAATCGAAACATATCTCTCTATTTCTAATGAGTAGACTTTTCTTTACTTCGTAACAACTTCGCTGAAACCTTAAAAGTTCCCATCCTAATTAATGAAAATTAATTTAGGAAAAATAGAGCAACAGGAAGCCTTTTAAGCTTCAGTAAACCAAACGACAACAAAAACTTGAGTAGATGATGGATAATAATTAGGACGACCGTTAAATGACGAGTGAGGAAGATGGAAAACCGTAAAATGTTACCAGAGAACGAAAAAGAAGCATCCCCGTTCCATTCTTGCAAACAGTACAAATTTGTGCATTTGGCAACGCACCAACCGCGGCAATTCAAATGCCCCTTATCGCAATTTTACCCATACATTTCGCAACGCTTTAGAAGCCCGGTACACCGTTTTTTTTCTTTTGCTTATTTTCGTCCACTCAAATCTTCGTTTTGCTCAAGCAATTCTGAAATTAGTTTATTTTCCGTCTACAAGTTTCCTGGATAAAAAGAAATGGTTCACGTGTAATCTTGAAGGTTGTTTTGTAAGTAGTAAAAATTGTTTCACAGACTCCCACTTCTTTACATGAGATCTCCTGTTAAACATCACAAAACTTGTGTAAAATAATTTTACATACGTTGGAAGATCTATCCAGTGGACAGACTAATAACGAAAATAACTATTCTGCGTTGAAAAGGCTTTTACAAACGTCATATAAGAACAACGAAGAATCGTTTTGGCGAGAAAACCTCACTTCATTAAACCTTTCTCTGAATCTTTTCCCAAAGATGCAAGTACAGCTTCTTCTGCACTAACT